TGCCTCCCTGGCCTGCTTTCCACCTGATGTTTCTTACAGCCAGGTCTGGAGCACACAGCAGAGCCTGGCTCCAGAGGGAAGAGCTTGGGGCAAAGTTCTTTTCATTTAACTGCTCCGTTCTGACTGCAGTTAGTCTAGGAATCTGATTAGAATTAGGCCCAAACCCCAAACCACGGGCGGGGGGGGGATTACTAAGAAGATGTGACGCTGCGTTATTTCTTGGATCCTCGCCTATCTCTCAATAAGTGCTCATGAGGAACAAAATGACACGTTCAAAAGACCTAGCCCCAGAGGCTCCAGTCTACTGCTGTGGGGGACGGGAGGACCTCACCCTGTACTTTGGGTAAATGAGGGGAGGCCGTCCTATCCACTGCCATCCATGGTTTCCAGCAGGAGCCTTCAGAATCTGCCTTCACTCTGCAGAGAACCCCAGAGAGCTGTGGGGGTGGCGGGGGTGGGGTGGGGTCTGCACCCTACACTCACCAGTTAGTCGCCAGTTTACAGGTCTGAGAGTTTAGTTCATCATCTGAGAAAACTGGGACAGTTAGGGTGCTCGGCCACCTTTGTCCCCATCTCCTCTACTCTCTGGGACTCAAGGGACTCAGTGGGTGTTTGTCAAAGTCTGTTGTTAGGCTGAGGAACAAGGGCAGCACATCATTCATTCAGTCCATTGATGGAGGACCTGCCATATACATGTGAATATCCATTCGTAATTACTAATGCGCATTTTCAAATTTGAATTTACAAGTACAAAGATATGTAAAAACGATTAAGTTCTTGATTGTAACAGAAAACAGTAGCCTTATGTGGAAACAACCTGTTTCCAGTCTTTTTTTCACACACAGTTTCCTAACAAGTCGCTTAGATGGTTGTCTCAAAGGGCCCTCTTTCGTGAGTCTCCTAGAAGTTTTCTCCCGTCAAGGGCAATATGGACAAGCACTAACAGAAATTTCAAAAGGTTCCAAAGTCACAGAAGAGCGGATAGGAAGTTAAGGCTAGAAGATCCCCTATTAACTCCATTAACGTAACCCAACAAGATGTATGCTGTCCACAGGCTGGGCCATTTCCAATTGGTAATTAGCTCCACACAGACCTAAGCTCTTTACTCTCAATGTATCAACCACATCCTTTGTGTCCTGTCCACTGTACTTGCAGAATACACCATTAAAACAGCGTGTATCAACATTTTTCAGCTACTGGCAACTCAGGAAGATCAAAACTACTCGAGGTCAACCTTCTCCCCCAGAACAAATCACTGGATTTAATCGGGAGGATAGTGTACCTTTTGATGATAAGGAGTGTCTCCATTTTTTTACAGCATCTTGTAGATTTCATATAAAATCAGTGGGTGACCTCCTCACACACAGAGCTTCAGTTTATAAGATGATGATTCAATCCACATCTCTAGCTCAGAACTTTCTATCAGGCTCCAGATCCATGGTTCCAAGTGCCTCGCCATCTCAACGGCAGCTCAGATTTGAACTGAGCACACGTGCATGCACGTGCGCACGCGCGCACACACACACACACACACACACTTTTCCTGTCCTTAATCTAAGTTTTAGCAAATTGTATCCGTGCACACTCAGGTTCGCAAGCCAGGCAGTAAAAGAAGCCTTCTTGAGGCACAGAAGGCCAGCTCTGGTTTGTTGGCATTTGGATTATTTGAAGCTGGTGTCACACGCAGCTTTTCTTTAGTTCTTGCATTTCCAGGTTGTCACCCTCTCGTTGGCCCTGCCCCACAGGCTGCCCCCTTCCTTCTGGACCACCTTTCCTCTTCCCCTCACCTGGCTCTGTCTCAAGGTTACACAAAGGCCCTCTGCCCTAACCCAAGGGTCCCACCAGCCTGGTCAACGAAAGTCACCTGACGAACCAAAAGTGTCCCATCCTCTTCCCCAAGACATGCCGACTCAGCAGGACCGAGGTGAGACCTAGTCCGTGTAGATATTATCATAGAATTCCATCTGAGCCCCAGTGCACAGCAGGAGAGACTGGGTTGCTTTGTCAACTCCCTGAAGTTTGGGACCCCTGCTCTACCAGGTAATGATGCTGCCACACGTGTATGTACATAGTGGCTGTCACTACACATGCACACGTGTGCACAATCCCATACACACACTGTGCACAAATGCATGCACGTGCACGCACATATACATACACAGAAACACTGCACAGGCACACATATGCACGCATTTTATTTCTGGGGCTCCTGAGCCCAGGTCCTCCCTGACACATCACTTTACATTGCCTCTAGAAGGAGTGTTCACTGAACAGGTATTCACTGCGCCCTCCTCCCTGCACGCCAGCCCCCATCTCCCTTCTTCCAGGTCCTTGTAGCAGGCTCCTTCGCGGTCTTTGGGAATGCAGATCGGAGCCACCAAAGTGCCTCAACACCTTCTTTCACTCGGCCTAATGTTCAGACCTCTCAGCCCAAAAAGCAGTGTTCACCGCGGATCTGAGGCTCACTTTGGCCCCTCCAACTGCCACGTCTCAGCGCCACCCTTCGCCACGTGCACATCTTTGTATTTAAATCTTTGTTCCCAGGTGGGATTCCTTTCTTAATCTAGAAGGAAGTCACTAGGTCAAATGTATGAATATTTTGAGGATCACTTTCCTGTAAGGAAACACCAGCTTACATCTCCCCCAGAGTTTATGGGATGGTCCGTTTTGCTGCTTCCTCACTAGGTTTGGAAATAATCATTAAAAAACAAGACGAAAACCCAAACGCCACCGATTCGATTATCTTCTGTTACTATGTCTTTATTTTCCAAGTCTCTGATTATTGGCACAATTGGGCATTTTTCACATTTATTGCCCGTTTGTCTTCTTTTCTCTGTTCTCTGAATGTTGGACTATTAAGTTTTGTCTTTCTCTACTAAAACCTTTTTCTAACTCAGTGGTCCCAAAGTGTAGTCACTGGACCGGCAGCATCAGCATCACCCAAGAGCTTGTTAAAAGTCTAAATTCTCAGGTGCTACCCAGACCTACTCACCAGAAGCTCTGGGGTAGGGCCCAGCAGTCTGCTTTAATAAGCCACCCAAGACTCCAGACTGCCCTATCCCAGACTGAGTGATAGAGAATTCATCTTGAACCCACGTGCACAACAGGAGGGACCCACCTTGTACGGCACCCATCTAAGCATGAAGGATAAGACCACAAGACTCAGGAACTAGCCTGCCTGAGCTTATAGCCCAGCTCCACCAGTTACTAGCTGTGTGATTTTAGACAGATGGCTTAACCTCTCTGAGCCTCGATTTCTTCCATCAAATAGGGACAGAGACAAAATAGGGATAATAATGTGACCTGCATAGATTTATTTAGAGAATTAAAGTTTCCATACATGTTTAAGCACTCAACACAGTTCCTAGCCCACACACTTAATAAATGTTAGGTACAGCGACTGTCACTATGACCGCTGAAATTATCATAAGCTCATGGGCCTGAGGCCTGGAGGAAAAAAGGTTGGATCTTAAGGAAACTTGGCCATCAGGAAGCAAGAGGTCTCATAATAAATATAAATATAATGCCCCTCCTCTTGTCCCCGCCCCCTAAAAAATATGCTTCTCCCTTTTCTTTCTTCTACTGACCCAACCCAGCCTTCTCAAACTTCACAGGCCATTGCTGTCATATCAGTTGCTGACAGAAGAAACGTGAGATGCAGCCAATATCGAGAAAACCTTTTTTTTTTTTTTTTAAGTTTATTTATTTTGAGAGTGAGAAAGAGAGGGAATGGGGGAGGGCCCGGGGGAGAGAATCCCAAGCAGGCTCTGCACTGGCAGCGCAGAGCCTGATGCAGGGATTAAACTCACAAACCATGAGATCATGACCTGAGCCGAAACCAAGAGTCAGACGCTTAACCATTTAACCACCCGAGCCCCCCAGGTGCTCCAAGAAAAGCTCTTGAACTCATTTTGGGTTTGCCACATATCTCCAATGGTTAAAAATTTTTTAATTTTTATAACATTTTTATAACATTTTCTCTCTTATAGCAGCCTTCTCATTGAAGGTTAGTAGGAGTAATTTTTTATTTTTAAAAATTTTTTTTAACATTTATTTATTTTTGAGACAGAGAGAGACAGAGCATGAACGGAGGAGGGTCAGAGAGAGGGAGAGACAGAATCTGAAACAGGCTCCAGGCTCTGAGCTGTCAGCACAGAGCCCGACGTGGGGCTCAAACTCACAGACCGTGAGATCATGACCTGAGCTAAAGTCAGCCGCTTAACTGACTGAGCCACCCAGGCGCCCCAGGAGTAATTTTTTAAAAAGAGGAGTTCCCATCATTAAGTCTGTCAAATACTCCTAAGACTCATAGATGCATGAGCTTATGCTACCGTGGGTTATACATCTTCGTGGTGAGAAGTCACGTACAGAGTTTCCCAGAGGTTTTGACTCTGCTGCTCCTTTGTAAAGGAATATCTCAGAGGGTCGGTGTTCCAACTTTGGGAGATGCTGTCTTACAGGAAAAGGAAAAGGGCTCCCAGGATTGGGGTGACTTGTTGGTGAATGGGTTAAAGGAAAACCCAATGTCGTATAGGAATGTTTTATATAGGAAAGAATAGACGTTTTTCTCTGTAAATAAGTAGCGGGTGGGAGGGTGGGGTGTGTTTTCTGTGTCTCCCAAGAAAGACGGTGAATTTTCAATGCTTTAGAAAAATGAGTTGAATACTCTTTTGCCTCACCATACCCCACATGAGACTCTACTGCGAAGCTTATTTAGTATTTTCCCACAGGCAAGACTTCCCAAGTTGTTCCAAGACCGGGCAATTACTGCAGAGTGAGGAAGCCATGATCTCTTGACACTTTTCTCCTCTCCGTGAATATTTCCAGCTACGGATGTTGGTGGCTTATATCTGCGTCTTTTCACCTTGCCTACTCAAGAAAATTGAAAAATGCTGTCAACCTCACTTCTCTCTTTCTCTCTCCCTCTCTCTCCCCTTTCCCTCTTCCCTTTCCCTCTCCCTCACCCCACCCCACCCCATGTTCCTTGCCTTGCCCTCCAGGAACTTTCTGCATCATATCACTGTGCACCTGTGTGGCTGGAATCAACTTTGAGCTGTCACGCTACCCACGCTACCTGTATGGACTCCCTGATGACATCAGCCATGGATACGGATGGTCCATGTTCTGTGCATGGGGGGGCCTGGGCCTCACACTAATCTCGGGATTCTTCTGTACCTTGGCCCCTTCTGTCCAACCTGTCCCGAGGACCAACTGCCCTAAATCCAGACCCGAGAATGGGACAGTGTGCTAAAAAAACAAACCCATACATATATATATATATATAAATATATATATAATATACATATATAAAACAAAACTAACTCAAGATGATGCCAGTGCCAAGGTAGAGTTGAGTTGGCTCAGGCACCTGCATCTCGTCGGACTTTGTGTTGCCTCATCACCGAGATGGGGAAAGTGTCCCCGTCACGTGGCTCTTCCATCATTTCTTAACTTTTGGCTCCACGGTTTTTTGAAGACAGAGCGAACATCACCACATGTGATAGCGTCCTGATCCCATCACTCAGGAGGATGGGGTGGTGGGCTGGGAAGGGACAGTGCCAGTGGTCTGAAGCGGCACGGATGTAGAGAAGGAGGTACCATCCATTGGGCCAGCCGTGAGGACACCACCCCAACGCCGATCGTGTTGCAGAGAAACAAAGCCCTTAGTTCATAGAATGTAACCACATCTTTGACGTCATTTGCAGATCACTTCTCCTGATCTTCCTGTTCTGATTCCCTTCCTAGCCCACCAGCAACACACAAGAAGTGGAAGAGAAAACAGACTGAGGAGGAAGTTTTCTCTTTGTTGCCAAACTTTTGGACAAAGTTACAGAGGTGGGAAGGGGGAGAGAACAACGTGCTGAGGGGCAAGATCCACGTCAATAAAAGGACACTTCAGTGGATGCTCAGAAAACCCAGTCTTACCTTCCAGCTGCCTTACATCCAGTTAAACAAGAGGCCGCCCTACCCCCGACCCCACCTGCACTCCCTGGGCAGATTGGAGCCTTGGAGTAATGCTGTGATGTGTGCGTGCGTGTGCGTGCGTGCGTGTGTGTATGCGTGTGTGTGTGTGTGTGTGTATGTGTGAGACTACTTTTGGTGGTTTCCTTTTTTCCTTTTCACCTTTTAAAATGGAAAGACTTCATTATGACTGTTGTCTCTATCGTTTGTGGTGGTTTCATGGGCCAGGGCGGAGTCCCGAGACCTAGGAGGAATAATGAGGGGCAGGCCAGTGTGGGTGCCCATTCTGTAGTTTCAGATCCCTGGAGTGTGTACGTGTGGTGGGTGTTTTCTGAGTGTGGGGTTTTATTGTTTGTGTTGCATTTTTCTATTATTTGTAGTGCAGCTGAAATTCCCAGAGGGCAGAACTGAGAACAAAATCACTGGGCAGAGGGCCCGGTGGTCCTTCACATCACAGTTCTGGGATGCCACGGGATTTAGTCCTCTAAATCTGGAAGTTCAAGACAAAGCTGGGCACAAAGCCGTGAGAGAAGAGGGGGAACATGGTTCAGGAGGGAGAAGGAACATTGCCTCTGTTGCTGTTGCACAAGTACGTACCAAACCAGATCTTCACTCCCCATCATGGAAGCTGTCCTTTGTCACTGGACATCCACCCCTCTCCTGGGGGCGACCTCTGTACAGATGAAAGAAAATGGGTCACGTGCAGAGAGAGCATCTCCATGCTCCGTGGGCTCAAGTTTGTATGATATTGTGTAAATTAATGGCGAACTCCGGACTCTTTCCATCTTCTTCCTTTCCCTCTTGGTATTCAAGGCCATGCATCCCCAAATAGCCATCTTAGTGGCTAGCCCCCAAACAGAGGTGGCATAAATCCAGCCCGACGTCTCAGGCTCGTTCGAGCACACTGGCCCTGCAGGTGTCGGCGAACTACCATGTCAGCCAGAGTCGTGGAAGCTGTAGGGACAAGAGTCTGCCGGGAAGAGTGGGCAGGAGCAGCTGACAGTCACCTCAGTGACCCTGCTGGGGCTGAGCAGCCCCAGGGAGGCAAGGAGTGAATCCCCGAGCTGTACAGCCATGGGTCAACCATGTAGCTGAGAATTCAGTTGCTTCACAAATAGATATGCTTTGGGCGCTTTGCCAACAGCTCAACAGCCTTCTTTCCCACCCATGTACCTGTTTCATCGACCTGTCTCCTGATCTGTCTTCCTACCAGTCCCCACTTCTCATCTAGTAACCACCTCTCCCTCTTCCATCCGCCAGGCTACGAGTCCTGCCTGTCCCCTCATCTGCTCTTTTTGACTGTGTGTGTGTGATTCACATCCAGTTAAGACATCCCATGTGCATGAATGGGCCTGAATGTGGGTCTCTGTATATGTGTAGCTCCCTGGTGCATTTTCTGTGTGTTTTTGTCAGTATGTACCTGGACACGGTTGTGGGTGTGCTACTCAAGGCTTCCTTCCCAGCGACACTGGTCAGCTTCTGCAAAAGGTCTCATGTGCGCGTGCCCCTTGTATGGGTATGCTGAGAGATGAGGGGTGAGGTGTGGAGCAGGAAACGCTATTCTCTTCCAATTGGGCTTCAAAGGATTTTTTTTTAATAAAGGATTAATTCTATGAGAAGAGAAATCATTTTTGGGAAACCCTAACTTTTCTATGGTATACAGAATTAAAAATTTCTTTTTCTTGGAAAGCTAGATTTCCCCCTTAAAGTAAAGGCATGCTAGGGCTTGAGGGAAAAGTGAGAAGCATCCCAGATTGAGAGGCTTCGTGTCTTCCTTCCAAGCATCTTGAGTGGGCTCTGCTGAGCAGGGAGAGGCAGGTGTCCACGAGCGTCTGTTTGGAGCAGAGGGCCTGTCTGTGACCAGCTGTTTCCCAGGTGCAGGAAAATGGAGAAAGAAATTCTACAAGGGGCCACTTGCTATCAGTCATTTAAACTTTTCTTGAGTAACTGTGTTTGAGGACACTGCCTCGCTGACCTGTGACTATTTATACCTTCTTTTTTTTTTTTTATCCATGCTTGCCATAAATGGATCATCCACTCTTTCCAGCTACTAATCTTTGTGATCGACCCTTAATACAGCTTATTGTGTCCCTTTGAAGCCTTCCTGAAATGTTAAGAGACTCCTAAGAAAGAAGTAAACCACCTGGGCTTAACTTGCCATCAGTAGAACAGAAGCTTTGAGCTACTTCTTTGGTAGCGGGGCCAGATAGGAACAGATACACTCTGAGGTCTGATCCTGCTTGGGGCCAATAAAGCCCCATACAGATGGCAAATCCTTGCCCAGGGGTGGGGGACCGGGGAGGCGGAGGCCAGGGAGGGGCTCAATCCCTCCAGTGTAGGGATCCAAGTTAAGACCCGCCATCCCCACGCTATTAGTGAGGCTCTGGTGTGGCTGAAGAAGAAGGGAAGGGGGGTGGGGGAAGGAAAAGAGAGCCTCTGCTAACTCCAAATCAAAGTGGAACCCAACCTACTGATGGGATTTAGGGTCGGCAGCTTCATAAAAGTCCCAGCCCCGCCCCCAGGTGAAGTTCAGATTCCTTACCGGTGTGCATGCAAGGTCTATGACCATGTATGTGTTTTGAGCTCCATGTGAATTAGCCTTAAGCATGGGGCTTTCAGCTTTCATTTCCTTCCTTACCCTATGAGATTGGGGATTCAGACAAGTGAGGTGTCTGCCTGGAAAGAGGTCCTATTTCTTTCTCTCCCCATTTTGGGAGCTTTGGTTTCTTTATGTTTCATTTTCCTCCTTGCTCCCTTCCTCTTTCCTTCTGCATCAACTTAAAATAGTCAATCAATTAAAATAGTTAAGGAGTTTGTCTCTGGAGAGGCTCATACTCTCCAAGCAAACCCCTTCCTCATTTGTTGTGGCTGTGGGCTTCAGAAGGAGGTCCGTGGCTTCCCGGCATTGAAATCTAAAACATTTTTAAATGTGCCTATTCCAGCTTCAATCCTCCTGAAACCCTCTGCCTTTCAACAATTTACATCCTTTCAGCTTCAGGGATCACAAAGTCAAGAAGACTCAGCATCACCCAGCCAAGACAAAGCCTTCCTTGTTCACATGTCCGTATGCCACCCTCGGAGCCCATTCTGGCATATTCTCTTGTTGGGGTGTGTGGTTCCACCTAACAGTGCTTGCCTTTCCTTTGGTCAGGGAAGGCGATATCCTGAAATTCTTGAGTATAGGCCCTACCTCTTAACAGTCCTCCACAGTCATGATAAGAGGTGTGAAATGAACCACGTGTGGTTGTTCTGATTCAACGGGGGATGTGCTGCTTAGGTCCCTAAAGCTGCCTACCTGAGTCAGACTCAAAGTAATGAAATCAAGCCCATCACCCAGAGGCATGGACTCTGTCTTCCCCTGGCTTATTCTGAGAGTGTTAATTGTTTTTTAAGTATCTGAGGGGAAGGAGCGAGAAGAAAATACACTCCGGTCATCTTTGGTGTGGTTTGTGTGGGTCATTTGGTTGATTCTTGCAACTAAAGGGAAGCTGCTTTTCTGAAAGTGTTCCTCCTCCCCCAGGGGCCAACCATCCCAGTGGACAAATCCAGCCCTTTCCAGGGCAATATGATGAATCAAGAGGTGATTTCACCATATTTAGAAGTCATTGGTGCATACCAGCCAGGTTGGCTTCTGTGCTATCTTCTAGCTGGTATCTGGCAGAGTAAGGGGGCAGGTCTTTAAACAAGTCCCCTTGAGCTGATGGACATAAAAGATTCTGGTGTCTCAAAGCAGTCAACTTGGCGGGCTGCGTTTGGACTCTTTCCGTTGATGCTTCCATGGTGCAAAATGTTTCTTAAACATTATTGTTAGTTCTCAGACTACTTTATTATTGGCTATTGGATTATTTTTTCTGAATAATAGAAAATTGTAGAGAATTAGAAAAATAAAGTACCAAAAAGACAAAAGGATTGTTTATAATTTCATCACTCAGAGGCATCATGATGACCCCAGTACCTACACGGTGAGTGGTTGTCTTGGGTTGGCACTTGGGGCTAGGAGTGTAGTCTAAGGCTGCAGAACCACACTGGTCTGCATGGAGTTAACCCGGTGTTCATAGCAGGAGAAGAGCAGGGCTCTGAGCCCCTAAAGATGGCAAAGGGACTTTTGTAAAAGGTCAGTGCCAGAGCTTAGGGATGGGTGGAACAGAGGGAAAAGATTCCTACGTTCTTTCCTTTTTTCTTTTTCTTTCCTTCTTCTTCTTCTTCTTCTTCTTCTTCTTCTTCTTCTTCTTCTTCTTTTTTTAAGTGCTATCTCAATCTAATTGTAGGTGTAAGAGCATGGAAGCCAGA